CTGTATTTGAGACTGGTTCTGTCTGCTCTCTGGAGGCACCTTCTAACCCCTCTGCCTCAGTCTTCCCATCTGCAGAAGGGGAAACCAGCAGGAGTTGAATAGCTATCTGTGAGTCACTCTGAAGATTGCAACAGGCAAGACAGAAGAGAGGAAGAAAAGGTAAGAGATCAACAGGTGACACTTGTGCCAATACAGGTGTAGGTCACATCAAGAAAGAGCAACATTGATGTTGCTCTGAGTACCTGTTTCCTATTTCCTTCCTCAAGGAGAATCAGGGTGATGGGGATGATCAGCAGCTGCTGGATGGGAAAAAGACTGTAGTGATAAAGTCTGTAAACGGCCAGCTTGGAAGCTGCTGAATTTAGTACTGTTAATGAAGGTCCCCCTGAGCAAACTATTCTCCAAGTGATGCTGGGGACCAGTGCAGGAAAGGAACAGAGCCAACATCTATTTTTGCCTATCAAAAGCAAACAAGCAAACACACACACACACACACACACACACACACACACACACACATGCACACAGAGATTGCTGTGATTTTCAGAGAGTATTACCAAAGGACAAAACTTGCATAACTGCCATAAATTATAAAAGCCTCCCTCAATCTTGGTTAATTCTCTTGTAAAAAGGGAGGGGAAAATCTGGAGCAGCTCAGCATGAAAACTATTGTGGGAGGGATAATAAAGAGACAGCACCGAGGTATCTAGTTGCTAGCCCTGATATCATTAAGTAAGTGCACTAGAAATGTCGAGGTAAATGCATAGCAGTGAATCACAGTCAGGCATGATTAACCTTGGGTAGTCTGAACTGGAAATCATTTACAAACACAAAGGTACTGAAGAACATCACAACAGACAGTACATCGAAAGTCATCCCAAGAGCGAGTGTCTTGCTGAGTGCTTTGTGTTTTTGTGTCTTTTTAAAAATTATTGTCATATTTTGCACATGGGAGGATATAAGATTGCAGACTCCTGGCTCGGGGAGGAGTTTCTATGGCACTGCAAGGTCCTCTGAAACACATGCACTAGTTGGAGTCACTTTTCCTTGCACAGAAGATTTATAAAATTAAAAGTTTTAATTGCAACGTTCCAAGGTTTACTGAAAAAAATTCAGTTTTTGCCAAAGATTGAAATCCTGTATCTGTATATATCAAAGAGCAAAAGAGCACTCTTTGTTCATCTGTCCTCAACTCCTTATTGCAGCCCTTCGGACTATAACTGGTAAAACAGTGGGAGAAAGGATTTTAATAAAAATTAGGTGGTTTTAGGAAAATCTGTGAAAACTTTCTGACCTTTGAATATTGAACTTTTTATCCCAAAACCAAAACTACAAAACATTGCTGGATATTTCTGAACAGTCCTAAAAGTTTAGAAAAGCTCAGTGAAGCTGTAACCAGATGACCCATAGAGAGCTATATATATTGAGTACAACAACAAAAAAAACCCTTCAAATCTAGCAGTCTCATGGCTTTAAAAGCATTCAATTACAAGGAACATGAATCAACTGGGGAAGACTCCAGACAGCTTAACACCTTTGTATTGTTTGCACCTTTTATTGCAATTCTTCAGTGCCAGCTCAGGCGATTATTGTGCAGGCTGAGGCAGTGAAGGCCAAAGGAATACTGCGCAAAAGGATGCAGCTCTGCTCAGACTTCCTCCCTGCTCTCGCACCATTCTTATTCTCCTACATCCATCTCAGTTATCTCTAGCACTGTAATAACCGCCCTTATTTATCTGCCTCATTAGGATGCTGCATCAATTAATGGGTATTATCTAATGCATACCAGTTTCTTAATGTTTAATATTATTATCAGTGGAAAGCTATGTCATACCGAGTCTATCTAGGGAGTTAATGCATACAGGAAAAAAAACCCTGTGCATAACGCTATTCAGAATGATGCATTTACCATACTCTCTGAACAGACCACCACGCATCCTGCACACTATAGTTTTTATACCCTCGGAGGTTACGGGTAGCACCTTTGGCCCCAGGGCTCTAGGTCACAGGGTTATATCTGGTTTTGAGGACCCGGAGCCCAGTGGACAAGGCAGGGGGAATGTCTTGAGGGGAGACTTCATGTAAATGCTCCGTTCACAAGCGCCTCACTGCCTGATTCAGGAGGGTAATCAACCTGTCCTTTGAAGCTGCATAAATAATGTTTGGATGGAGGTAGTAAATCTGTACCAGGGATGAATTAACTGCCACTGAGTCATATAAGCTTGGTTTGAGTGTGTGGCTTGTAACATGCCTGAGGAAAATAAAAAAGACATTTGCAAGAAAGAAACATTAATTTGCTCCTCCCCGTCTTTTCTGTTATTTTTATCTAGGCCAACATGACTTGCTTTGTGGGTTTTTTTTGTTGCTTTTTGTTCGTTTTTTACAATGAAACACTGACTCGCAGTGAAACAAATCCACAGTTTCTCCTGGTCAGGCCTGAATATGCCACCTCTCCTACATCAACGTTGTTCCTTTTCAGCACCCCTGCCAGGAGATGACAACCGGACTCCTTCGACACTCTCAGGGAAGTGAGACCTCACAAGAGGGTGCAGAATTTTTACCCACAGGAACCCCTGGATGCATTCGTGCCCCCTTGCACACCCCCGCTGGCTCCCAGTTGCAGGCCTGGGCACTGCTAGGGCTTATCCTGAGTCTTCTCAGGATGTCACGGTCTTCTCCATGTATGCAGGGGAAGAGTACGTCCAGTACCATAGATGGACCTAGGCACATGCACTCACGCATCCCTGAAGGTCCTAGTTGTGCGCCTTGTGTGCAGGTGCGAGTTGCTACATCCCCGAAAGAACAGAGAAAGTACAGTCATGACTGCCTGAGAACCAGGGGTAAAAGTCTGTCCTAGAAGAAGGCAGAAAAGAGAGGAAACGAGGGGAAGGCCAACAGAAGGTAGCAGAAAGAGAACGGGGATGTCAGTGTGCACCTACACATCAACATGAGTTAGTTTACCTCACTGTAACACTCAGATATCGAGCCTCTATTCAATAACACATACATTTTAGTTTACTGAGAGCTGTTGCTCATATCGCTCTCTCTTCTTTCTCATTTCCAGTGTCTGACCTCTGGTTTTCTCTTCTATTGCTCTCAGTTTTGTACCTCTTTCTGAAAATTTGACATTTGCAGTTCCTTTTCCACCTTCTTAGCTGTATCCCTCTCATTTTCTTCCTCCTCTTTTGGCACAGCACTTGCTGGTTCCCTTCCTGTCATCTCCTTTCTCTCCTGCCTCCTTTTCCACACAAACAATTTCTCTAACTAGAGGGGCCTCTGCTTCTTGAACACAGTCATTTATCCATGAAAACCAGTCATTTCTACTTCTAAAAATTGCTCTGGGAACCAATATCTGCTGTGGGGTAGACTTAGCATATAGTAACAGTTTGAAGAGAAGCGTTATAAATATTATATATTTAGTAGACAGCACAGTCTCAGAAGGTTGTACTAAGATCTCTTATTAGGCAAGGAAATTTCATACCTAACCAGATTCTGAAGTCTGCTGTATGTAATACAGCACACTATATGGTAAAGTATGTAGTCTCAAACCTAAACCACAAACATATTGGGGCATATTTCTGAACCCATATTCTGGGTTCAGATACTCCTATTGTGGGTTCAGAGATCTTACGTGATTTTAATCCAATGAAGGAGAAGAAAGGAGAGTAAAGAACATTCCTCAAGAAGAAAATACCATCTAACTAGAAAAACCACTTTGGAGGATGGCTTATGTTTTACATATTGCTAAATATCAGCAAAAATAAATGTGTTCATTTCTCCAAAATACCTCCAGATGGCATTAAAACCCTTCTTCTTTCAGTCTTTATTGCGATATTATTTTTAAAAATTATAATTATTGGAATCATTCTATTAACCATTCCCAGCAATCATACTATCAGAAGGCATAAGGCTGCTAATGCTTAATTCATTTAATAAGTTGGGCTAAATATGCTCACATACTGTAATTACATTCCACAGCACAATCTGCAGGACAAGCCATTTCTTACACCATGTCAAATCTTTTTCTAGATTCATTTCCAGAAGATTTTAAATGCGTATTTGCAGCAGGAATCAAAACATCCCACAATAAATCACTGTTATTGTACCTCCTTCTGTGACTACTTTTGCCCAAGTAACAAATGGTGACACCTTGCGAGATTTACATGATAGAATGCTCTGAATTTAAATAACAGGAATCAGAAAACATAAATTATGGGCAAGATGCACTCTAAAATTCACATGACTGACTGTTACAAGAACTTCCCTCCCTCAAATGGGATTAAAAAGGTGAATGGTTTTGCAGAAATTCATAATGCTCCAGCCTAGGTATCTATCTCAGTTTGGGAGACTGCTGCTATTTATATATTTTTTTTTAACTTGCAGCTCATCTGTTTCATAGTCTGGTTTATGTTGGCAAAACAATTCAGTCCTTTGTATACTGGAGTTAAAAATGGTAAAAGCTTCTATTGTTGCACTAGAGTGAAGGTGAGCACTGATCTATTACAAGTGCCTGTTCCTATCTATTTCTCGACTTCTTTTGTTAATTCAAAAACATCAACAAAATCGTGAGAGACCAGAGATAGCTGTAATTGGATTTCAAGTAATTCAGAGGTGAAGCTGCAGACTGCAGTCTTTTAAAATTACATCAGTACATCAAAGGCATATGTGACATGATGTTTTTTAGCAAGTGTGACAAACTCCGGCAGCATTAAGGTAATGCTGAAGTCAGGTTGTAAAGGCCAGCCTCGCACACCCACAAAAATCATCTCATATCTATTCAGCGTGATATGGAGCCATTTCACTTGCAAAGATTTCTGACTTACTAGCATGCAAAAGTTCTAGGAATAATTAATGTTTATTCATTATCTAAAAAGCTGTTTTAAGAAAAGCATCAAGTGAAAGAGTTTTATCGTAATGAAAACAAACAAATTCTATTTTGCCCAACAAATCTGATAAAAACACAGCTGCCTTCTCTGATCTTAAACACAAAAGTGACTTACGATGTATGGGTTGCGCTTTTCTCTGGACTCTTTGGCTCTACATCACTTTTCCCTTTAAAAGAGAAGAAGAACATGACATCAGAAATGGGTCAATATGAAAACTGCTCAGATGTGACACGTCGATGCTTTATTCATTGCTAACACTGACCACTCTTGCCACACGTGCAGGCCACTGTTGAGGCAGTCACAGGGTTGTGGGGGCACTGCTGGAACATTTGCAAACGGGGAGTCCACCCTGTTTGACTTGCCTTTTCTTGTCACTGCCAAATGTACTCTGGAAATGTCAGGCAAAGAAACTCCACAAGAGAGGCTGCTTAGAGGACACATGCTTTACCAGGGATAGCAGACCCTGGAGCAATGGAAAGTATTTCTCTAGGGCCCTACAGCTCTGCTTCAAAACCCTGCTCCAGGAACAGTATTTATTTCATACAAAGCAAAACAGCACCAGCAGGATCTAGTAAGGCAGCGATTCGGACACAATTCTGCCAATGGATGTTTTGTTCACATTCATTTTGACACGTTAAGGATCTGATCTTCAGCTCCTGTAAGTGGGGGCTGGGGAAGCCCTCTTTGCTGTGTTGTATATTTTAACTTAGGCACTCAACCCCAGGAGAAGTCAGGCACCCAAACGCTTGAGAAGTATCAGAGGCCCAAGGGATGCCTCTCTACACTTCCTTACAACTCACATGGGTCCTGGCATAACATGTTGGCTTGTGATGATCCCCTTCTTGGGTCCAAAATTAGATATTTGCCCAACACAACTTTGTTCCATAGCACAGACATTGGAGAACTGATGGGGTGGTTCTGCTTCTGCTAAATCAGGGCTCCTCCCTCCTTTCTCCCCCCTGCAAAAAGTAAGGCTGATGTTTGCTGTAATTATTGCTCTCTGAGTAACCTGACAGAGCTGCACTTCAGTGTAAGATTTCTGTATAGCTCTACCATGGATGTACAGGGTATGCCACTCCAATTGAATCATCTTGAACTTGAATTCTGGACCTAGTGACTTTGTAGCTGCTGCTTCTCTTGTGTGTTGCTAGTTGCTAATAGCTGTCTACACATGAGTTTATGTTGCCTAGCAGACAAGGAGGTGCAGAGGTTGAGTGTGACTAGTTTACTGACAGATATGTTTTTCTCCATTACCTTTTAATGAGCTTCACTAAACCAAAATCCACCTGTGCCTTCTGAAAAAAATGTGGGAAGTGCTTATTTTGGTCAGGCTGTTTTGGTGGTATCTGATTTTCTGCCCATTGACTTGAGCTGAACGGGTTTTGGATCAGCCCCCAACCTATTCCATGCACATGAGCATTACGTATCACCCATTTGCTGACTGACCCTCAGTTTCCATACAGCACTGGGGTGCCAGAAATGGCTGTAGGTGGCACCTCTGGAAAACCTGCTGTTGCCTTCAGGACAGGCAGGGTTTTGCTACCAATGTCCTTCCATTGCTGTACAGATGCAAGCTGAAGGACTTAATCTAGACAGCGACCTTCTGGAAGTGGGTGGTTTGTCGAAGAGGTTCTGGATATTGCAAACACCTTGCCGTGGTGCTTTTGGATCTCATCGTCCCCTCTGGAGAGGTTTGTGTCTACCCAACCTAGGTACCTAAACTTTACTGAACAGGATGAGGGAAGCTCTGGATGACTTCAAAAACACTGATGCCTCTCTGTGGACCTCTAGGGAGGCTAAGCACTTACTGCAGGACAACTACAGGCACTTAAAATTTAGACACGAGTGGGATATCCACACAGGATGGAATACATCCACTCTGTAATCTCTAGGTCACTTTTAACTTTTAGCGGAGAGCTCTGAAAGCTTATCCAGATGATGAACTCGCTGTCTAGAAAGCTGTTGCTACAGTATACGTTTGTCAGCCTCAGGGTGCCTGGAGCCCTGGAGCTCATCTGCATTATGATAATTTGGAACAAGAAACCAACAGTAACAGTTGGCATATATTCAAAGATTTTCTATTTGTAACTTAGGCTCTTTATAAGTGATGAATTATTACCATGAACACTGGTTTGTTTGAGTGTGAGAGGGAATATGGATTCCTGAGTGCTTTGCCAGCACAGTTCACATCAGTTCTACTTTCAGCGATGTATGTTAATGCAGCAACAAGGGAAACAGCATAAGTACTGTAAGGAGAGAGAAAAGGGGATCTCTGTGATTTAGCCAAACTGGATATTAATGAATTACCCCACAGTAAGCATTTGCAGCTGCTTTTATGCTAATCGTCACTTAACATACTTCTGTGCGGAGGGGGAGGACGAAGCCTGTACAGATGGTAGAAAGCCATCAGTCTGGCCTATCAGAGTAGAAAATCTGGTCATTAATGCTTTATCAGTTCTTACCAATTTTGTTCTCACTTGACTGAATCATAGAAATTTTTAAAATGTGTATAGACTAAGCATAGTTGAATGTCACAGATATAGTGCAGATAAGATTTTTGGATAAGCATATGTTAAAGGGAATTACCTGTCAGAACAACCTGTTTCTTTCACAGTCACTCTTGGCCAGACTAAGATTTGTTTTCCATTTTCCATGTAACCTGCCAAATGCATGCAGGTACCATTGTGGGAGGCTGGCATTTGCCGAATTGCTAAATCCTCTCTAGCTCTGGCTTCTCATGGGCAAATTTGTGTTGGTTGTCCTTTCTTTTTCTTAGCCTTTTTGGAACTGACAAAGAATATGCTACCCACCTCCTTACAGGACTGCTGTTAGCACACTTTATTTCAGGTGCTAAGCACTGTATATGTCTCCTGAAAGGGGTGTGGATGTGTGTGTGTGTGTGTCTGTGTCTGTGTCTGTGTGTTGGTGTGTGTATGCATACACACGCCTCCAGGAATACACAGTGGAAAATATCAGTCCTCAGATCCTTAGACATAGAGCTGGGAGTTCTTTCCTAGTTTCTACTTCATCTCACACAACTATCTTCCTAATCTTTTTAGATACAACCAGAGGAGATGGGTTCAGATTTCTCCCATTTCAAAATAAATTTGAAATGAACTTCTGTAGGATTTCCCTGATGAATAGTGGGTGGCCAGAGAAGGAGCTCTCTCTTCTGAGTTGGAATTTTGGTCAATCACTCAACCTAGCTAGGCCAAGTTTCCCTTTCTAGGTAATAGGGATAAATAAAATTTATTGTGACAGAGCAGTATAACTTCAGCCATTATGGGTTTTTAAATGCTTTGATTTCCTCATGGGAGGATGAGAGAAATGCAAATGTTATCCATGAGAAAGACAGAGTTTGCAGCTGGAGTAAAACCAATCGCAAATAATAGGCTTAGGAGTTACTCCAAAGAAGACAAGGTGCAATTGGAAATAACAGCTAATTGGGACTCTGAAGACGTGCATTTGGATAACACAGTACATAGACCATAAGATTTCTTTCCCACACAGAGTAATTTGCTGGCATTTCCTCACATCCTGTATTGGGTTTGTGTGGCAAGGCTTTGGTAGTAGCGGGGGCTTTAGGGGTGGCTTCTGTGAGAAGCTGCTAGAAGCTTCCCCTACAGATAGAGCTAATGCCAGCAGCTTCAAGACAGACCATCGCTGGCCAAGGCTCAGCCCATCAGCAACAGTGGTAGCACCTCTGTAATAACATGTTTAAGAAGGGGGAAAGAAAACCCCCCAGCAACTGCAGACTGGAGAGAGGAGTGAGAATATGCGAGAGAAGCAACTCTGCAGACACCAAGATCAGTGAAGAAGGAGGGGGAGGACGTGTTCCAGGCACTGGAGCAGAGATTCCCCTGCAGCCCGTGGTGAAGACCCTGGTGAGGCAGGCTGTGTCCCTGCAGCCCGTGGTGAGAGGGCAGGCTGTGCCTCTGCAGTCCATGGAGGTCCACAGTGGAGCAGATCTCCATCTGCAGCCTGTGGAGGACCCCACACAAGAACAGGTGCATGTCTGAAGAAGGCTGTGACCCCATGGGATGCCCACGCTGGAGCAGGCTGTGGCACCGTGAAGAGAGGAGCCCACACTGGAGCAGGTTTGCTGGTAGGACTTGTGACCCTGTGGGGGACCCACATTGGAGCAGTCTGTTCCTGAAGGGCTGCACCCCATGGAAGGGACCCATGCTGGAGCAGTTTGTGAAGAGCTGCAGCCCATGGGAAGGACTCACATTGGAGAAGTTCATGAAGGACTGTCTCCTGTGGGAGTGACCCCACTCAGGAGCAGGTGAAGAGTGTGAGAGGTCGTCCCTCTGAGGAGGAAGGAGCAGCAGAGACAATGGGTGATGAACTGACCACAAACCCCATTCCCATCCCCCTGGGGGAAGAAGGTAGAGAAATAGGGAGTAAAGTTAAATCCGGGAAGAAGGGAGGGGTGGGGGAAGGTGTTTTTAAGATTTGGGTTTAATTCTCATTACCCTACACTAATTTGATTGGTAATAAATGAAACTAATTTCCCCAAGTCAAGTCTGTTTTGCCCATGACAGTAACTGGTGAGTGATCTCTCCCTGTCCTTACCTCAACCCATGGACTTTTTCATTATATTTCCTCTCCTCCTCTCTCTCTGAGTATTAGAGAGATTAGGCAGTTTTGGTGGGCATGTGGCATTCAGCCAGGGTCAACCCACCACACATCTATATCTTTTTTTCCCTGGATTTCCCTTGAGTTTGACATAAAGGACTGGTTAGGTCTATATTTCATTCTAACCATGTCTTATGTGATGTCTTATTCCAGCACCCCAACAGGAATCCTCACAGATACAAGTGTCATGTAGTCAAATTCCTTCTGCAATGCTAGGAAAAGTGTCTGGGTGTCTGACAGCAACCCTAACTTTTGCCACCAATGAAGAAAATGTTTCTGCATGGGTTCAGCTATTCTTTGTTCTTCTACCATGTGGTAGCAAGTGCAGCTCCAGCCCAGCTGCAAACATGCTGATTTTGCTGAGAAGGACGAAGGAGGAGGTAAGAAGAAGCGGGGGGTACTCTGGTGTGGGAGGGCAAATGGGGGAATTGGAAGTGAGGTTAGAGACCACTGGAGTAAGGCGGAGAGAAAAGTTTTAAGGAGGTAGGACTAATTTCCTAATCCACAGGAAAGCAGGTTTCATTAGATCTGCAGAACAACCTATTTTATTCAAGTGTTGAAAGAAAGAAATACTCAGAATGAAACTATGACCAAAAAGCTGGCCAAACACTGTGGCCTCTGATGTCACTGTGAAGCCCTCAGCTCAGCTGGTGTGTTTGTCATGCTCGTGACTCTGCGTGTGTTTGCATAGCCCTCTCTATTATGGCCCTTTTGTGCTTCCTTCTCTCATTACTGTATTCATTATTTTCTGACAGAATCTCATCCCTTTTGCCTTTTATTATTTCCTTAGTGCTGGTACTCACAGCAATATCAAACCGATGCCAGCAATTAAGTGACACCACTGCATGTTTCTTCACAACATTGTCTTCCACAAGCCGACCTTTCCCCAGCAAAGAGCCACACCGTTTTAATAGCCTACATCTCCCAGCCTTGTCTCTCTGGATGTCTTCTCCCTCACACAGTGGGTGACCAGCCACTTTCAAAGCCCTACTTACCAGCTCAGGGCATTTTTCATCTTCAGACACAGCCCTGTAATTTGCAAACAGGGCTCTGTGCTGTCTGACAGGTCAGGAAGATAGCAAAATAGTTCTTTTGGTTGAGATGATTCTATGTTGAGAGCAGGATAGGATCATGTATTTTTAATATGCAAGACAACATTAACAACAGAGGTGTCAGGGGAGAGGATTAATATTTTGTTTCGCAGAACAATTCCATCTTTCCTTTCAATACAGCTGCTAAGATTTTTACCATAACTAAATGTAATTAAAGTGCTGCTGATCTGAGCCGTGATTTGTAAATTGGAGTCTACTGAAAATCCCCAACCAGGAGCCACACAAGCATACATCACTCCCCTGCCCACACTGCCAGCCAAAAAGACCCACAGCCATATGGTCTTTGAGACATTATCTGGTGTTAGTTTGGCAGGATTTATGTAGCTTATTACTGTGCAATAGCCATAAAATATACCATTGCCTATGAAAGATAAATGATAACAATTGTTCCTGCAGCATTTCCTGGCAGTCCGGATCTGGCCGTGCAACTAGGTCAGTTCTTTTCTGCCTTTCTGAAAAAAGCCACTTTTTTGCCCTTTAGGTCTTTGTCATCTACATAATGAAATAGCCATAACTAAAAGAATCCTTTCTGTTCTTCCCAGTTCACCAAAAGAGTTGACATTTTGATGGTCGCTCTTCAATTCAGTTCTCCACATTTGGCCATAGTAGAGTACTGCTGAGGCTCTGCGCTCTCCCAGTCTGCTACTGGTTCCTTACTCTATCAGTCTCTTGTTTTGCAGTCATTGTCAACCCCTCCACCCAATGCAGCCAGAAAATGAGTTGGTACTTACTTGTATTGCTGTGTCCTGTAGATCCCTGTTGAGATTCCTACAGTAATAATAGAAAAAAGGTATGGTGTGTTATTTTTTATGGCAATTTTTAGCTGCAATACTTGCTTGAACATTACCTTAACAATACAACCAGCATTGTTAATTGTTTATTCAGTTTCAAAGTAATTTTCAATTACAAGAATAAATCCAATATTTCTTTGAAAATCCATTAATTCTAAGGCTTGTAAACTTATTTCACAACAACCTTTTAATGGTTCAATTCATTGTATAGCTATTACGACTCTCCTGCTCACTATTCATTTATTGATCAGCCAAAACTTGTCTATTATCTTCTACAAGTTTAGATGAGAAGACAGAGGGAAGACCAATATTGCTTCATGGGCCGTTAGATTCCTGAGGTAGTAGCACAGCTGGTCTTTCTTTTTTACATGTTGATATTGACAGCATGGGAGAATGGAAATACAGAATTTTAGTTCTGGGTCCTTGAGATTACAAGGTCAACCTTGTATCACAACCCCGATATCTATGAATACAGTGCAATAAATTAAACAATTTTTCCCTCACGTGCAAATGTTCACATATTTTACTCACATAATTTTTTTGCATTGATAAAAATATAAAAGAAGCCTACAAACAGAAGGGAAATACCAATATTAACTATAACAAGAAAATATTTAATTTAAGGAAAAAAGAACACTGCTATGGATGACAGTAGGGAAGGTATCCCATATATAACTGCTTCTGAGTAACACAGACACACATAGGAATACTACCTTGTATACATGCTGCAGTTACAACTTCAGTAAGGACTGCTTGGAGATGCCAGGCACCCACAGCAACACACGCAATCATTTTCAGTGGGGAATCAGGAGCTGGACCAGATTTGGGTCCAGAGGCTGTGATGAGCCAAATGCACAGCTCATCAAGAAAGCAATTGCAAGTCCCCAGAGAGATCAAGTATGCTCCCACTCGGCTGAGCTGAGATTTTGCTGCTGAGTCACTCAGAAGCATGCCTCAGCAGTTTAGGGCCCCAAGAGTTTCTTGGCATCTCTAAATGGAGGTTGACTGGACTGCAAGCACTAGCAGCTCTAGGGCTCGGCTAGACAAATCCCCTTCATCTATACCATTTGCTCTAGAGTCAAGACTCTCCAGACTGCATGGCTTTGATCTGTAATTTTTATGTTATAATACACATCTGCTTCACTGCTTCACTACACACCTGAAATGCGAGACACCAAATTTTTGGGAAAGCCCTAAGAGTTTCTATCTTCAACTGCAGTATGAAAAGATCTCTACTGTGTTTCACATGCCGACAATAATTTCTCAATAATTTGAAATTGTCTACTTTTGACAAATTGCCTCATCTTTTTGTGAATGCTTCTGATGAAGGGATATTAAAGCCTGTTTTTTTCTGGTGACTGAATATAATCTTAAGTAGTCAGGATCAGCATGCAGTGGTGATATAGTAAAATGTACACTTGAATTTAAATGCTATGCTAGTAGCCAACCAGGCTGCCAATAAAGGTAGGCTATTAGAGCACGTTCAGTTTCCAGAATAGTGAATTTATGTACCTAGAGAGGTTTGAGGGAATACAATCATTTTGATGAAAATACCTCGGGTTTCTAAAACTGTTTGAAACTGCTAAACAAGGGTCTCATCACACTTTTACATTTTTGTCCACCTCAGGAAGAATTCACCCTCCCCTTTAACAGCCTAGCACAGTCTCTTTCCTCTGCCATTGGCTCTGTATAGTCTCAAATTTGACAGCAAAACACAGAAGCTATAACATTTTTGCTTTTCCTTTTAACTGATTCTTTAAAATAAGTGTCTTGATTCTCAACAAATTATTGTTAATAATAAAGGCTAATACAAAAATTTCACAGGAAAATAAAGAATGCTCCCACACAGGTAGGAAAAAAGTATGACTTCATGTAACTGAAAAAACCAAAGGTGAAGTCTTCACTTCTGGAGATTGTTTTCTGGCGCATTTGCTCCAGCTTGTTAAAATCAACAAGAAAGGAAAAAGTAAATGAATTGAGCATGTAAAGAATAACATCACTATGATAACTTAGCTTCTGTCAAGAATAATTACCCAATAGCTTTGTGACAAAACACCAGTTCTCCTGGAGTGGATAAATTATTCTCAAATAAAAAAATGATGGTTGATTCCATAATATCACATACATATAACTAGGAATCAAAAACCTGATCAAACTTCCGAGACATGAAATCACAGTAAAAATGAAGAGAGCAAAGCAAGCATCAGAATTAACAGCATTCTTTTTTCTCATACAAGAGTAGAGAATTAATGCCTGAACATGAAAGCTCATTCGCACAAGCACCAAGTGAGCTCTTATTTACCAAATTTAATTATTCATCTAAAGTTTATTTATTAAGATGTTTTTAATAAAATTACAATCAAATAATGCCTGATCATTTGTATGTAACAAAATGTGACAGATAGGAGAAAGGAAAGCACACACAGCCTTTCACATCACACACTGATTCAATTATCCTTAAGCTTTGAAAAACAAGAAGTAAAGAGACTGTCATTGCTCCTTCCTAGTAAATTCAAGAGTACAAATTAATTCCACAGAGAAAACAAATCCAAAGTTAAGGATGAAATGTAACTTTATGCCCTCTACTACATAAAGGACAGTTCCCTAAGTATGCTCTCCCAGCAGCGCTATGCTGGGACACCTACTGAGCACTGGCACACGTGTCAAACCTGACCTGGACCTTCCTTCCATTCTTGTGCATTAATGCCCAGGTTAATGAGGTCTGAATTCATATACAGGTACAGCATATGCACATACATCCGCCCCAACCACTGAGCATATAGTTGTATAGATGGACACATCCACACATGCGGTTTCAAATAATGAAATCGTTATATTTGTGATATATAAACCTCAGTTATTTAGCTCTTATTACTAGACTGATTTCAAAACCAGTCTAGCTATAGTTGCTGTGGCCTTTGCAACTTTAATAGCCTAATTAATAAATTTCAAGTTTTAAGCTGTCAGATCACTAATTACTTTAGTTGCAGGTTAAAAGCAGTGTGGCATGTATGGAACTAATGATGCTGACACTCAGTTTTTATAGACAGAAAAGTAAGGATGATTTGCATCCCTGAAACAGGGCAGTAGTCCTACAAGCTTCTCTTTTTCTCATTCCCAAAATGATGAGTATCTTCACACTTGGGAACTGTCTTCTGTTAAAAAGGATTGCAGCCCACCTGCTTCTCTGGCTGGAAGAGTCATTGCAAATGAAGTGAACTGATCTCTCAACACTGCCATAAAGACTGAAAATGAATTCACGGTACCATGGATTGCTTGGAACTAAGAGATGAAGACGATGCCCCGAATTTAGCCTTTTAGCCTCTTTGCTGGCCTTGGCCACTACTTAACTGACAGGCTCATTTATCTGAATAATGTGCGATCCACAACAGTTTGGTGTAGTCCTTAGATTTTAACAAGTCGGGACAGCTACGTATCTTACCTGTAGGAAAGCTTCCTAAGAGTTATGGAGACATCCTCTATGAGATCCAATAAAGATTTTACACCACACTTTGTGAAAAGCAATAGCTAGCTTACGAATATCTAAAAGACATGTGTGAAAAATTGGGAAAACATTCTCTGCATTTTGGAGCCTGAAAAGCAGATGCTTTCTAAAGTCTGCAACTCCACAGGTTCAGAGTAAGCCACAGAAGTAGCATTTAATCATTTAAAAATATTTTAAAATAGAGGTGGTGTCTAAAATTAACATGATCTATGGATAGTAACACAGGATTTTTCCAGGACTCTCTTCAGAGTTTTGTTAGATACTTCTACCCCATCTCGCACAAAGCAGATAATTTTTGACCTTGCAGACCACCCAGGCCACAATACCGTTGTGATGGTATTATATGTACAAAAGTATGCTCATATATTAGTAGATTAAATCTTGTCCATCCTAATCTTAAATAAAATGGAAAATCTACTTTTGTAAGAGAAAAGGAAACCATCTAGAAAAGGCTCTTTAAAAATGAATGATAGATCTCTGAAATGGCTCTGCAGTTCAAACTATTAGAATATTTTCCAGAAAGATGGATGAACAGGTGGAGAGAAGATGAGAAAGTCAGTATCAACCATTATTCACATATCTTTTCCCCATAATATGTCGTTCTCCTTTTCCTATATTTATCACAACACATTTTGTTGTGAGGAAGGGCATTCATGATGCTTACACAGTTATGCTGACAGGTCCATCTTGCCCATGCCCATCTGCACACATGCCGTGCAAGCACATAGTGTGGTAATTATGGCAGAAACTGCAGAACTGCAAACACCACTTTGTTTTTGTCATCCATATCTGGGCACTTCACCTGCATGTAAGCTGCTGATCCATCTATCTCCCACTGGACTTACTCTAACGTAACAAGCCTCTAGCCCGCTTACCATTTTCAGTCAGCTGTCTGCCTTCAATGAGCAAATAGACAGTGAGTTATTTCCTTCTTTTTCTTTCATAACATGCCAGAGATGTTTTGGTTTACACCCCTGGTACTTCAAAATCATGACACTCTCATCCACGGAAAAGCTGTTTTACTGTAGGGAAATCTTGAGCGTTTCTTGGCTTTGTGGTTATAATTATTCCCTGCACTAAATTTTGCAGAAATGGACTTAAAAGTTACCAAAGGAGCTTGCTTTAACAGGAGGAAGGCTATAAACAGCATCAATACCATCTTTCAAGCTTGAACACTTCATGAAATATGCTTGTGGCATATAAACAGTATATGGTGATACAATGTGAATTTTTTATTTGCTCTTGCATAGGATAGCTGATTTAACTCTCTTCTGACTTACACAGTATAAATAATGTGGTTTCCCCAAGCTCATGCTGATGAACTTTACCATGCCACACTGCATCCTCCCTGGGATACACATACAATAGCGGAGCTGGTTTCAAGGGACCATCAGCAGGACCAGTGGCCTTGGTCCCTTGAGGGACCAAATACTTCCCTGGCAAATTCTTCTGTGGCCCCTCTGGGCATTGTGGCACTGGGCTGCCTGCCTCTCTAGCAAGGCTGTCCCTGAAGGCAGGCTGGTGGCAGGGGATGTATGCTGACTCCTCAGCCCCTGACTGTATTAGTAAAGCCCACCTCAGACCTCAAAGGTTTCAGAAAAAATCTGGCAAAGACAAATGAAGCAGGAGTAATGGATGCGAGCAGGAGCTTCCTGCACCCTGAAGTATCAGTCAGGATCTTCAGAAGGTGCCTGCAGAAGGCACCACATCTGGACACCCCACCAGGGACACCTGCGTTTTAGCCTTGTGGTGAGGAACCCATGACTCACACATCAGCATCAGTGCTGCTGCTGGAGATAGGCAAACAAGACCGTGTAGCCAGCCCTGCAGAGGCTGTGAACAGGAAAAGGCAGTGGACACTGACTGGCACACACATGGACAAGGTCATTAGCACGGCATCAGCCTCAGCCCAGGGACCTCACATGCTTAGTCAGGGCTCATGCAGGACATATTTTGAGGGGCAGGAGGCATGGTTCTACATGATGTTGCGTGTCTTACCTTGTTTGGGAAGGGAAACTTGCTTTGTTCTGCCTTTCCTGGTGTGTGAATAGCTGACAGTGGTGGAGGCCAGGAATGGGTCATCTCCTGAAAAATAATATTGTACAGCAAACTGTTTAGTGGAATAGGAGACAATGATAGTATATCAGTAGCAAGAGTGCCTGGGTAGTGGAATATTTAAGTTACTGCAACTTCTAGGAGATGCCCAGTTTACATATAATCTAGACAATACACGAGCTACATTGATTTTTATCACAGACTCTTGAGAGCAGTTCTTAAGCGCCGTTTCATTTTCCTGAATAGTTAATGTCTCTTAAGTGCAAGAAGTTTGATTTTTCTGACAATCTGCTACCACATTTTAATCAGGCAATGTATTCTGGCTGGTGAGACTAACAGAATAACTTTTCTTTTTGTAGCATAGAAACAGAAATTTCAGTTCACGACCAAGTAATGGGATGCACACTATGGTCTAATCATGAAATAGATTTCATAGACAAAGTCAGAATGATAAATGCTTAACACTTGCTGAATGGTTAATTCCTAAAATTTCCTTTATCATTGTAAAGGAGTTGAGTAAGTTCCTAACTGCAACATGTTTGTGCCTTGCAGGATGCAAACATGTGGCAAGCCCTAAACAAGGTGTGCTGCACTCCACCTTTGTCTTCTCCCTGTGTTGTTCTGAAGAACATTTTTTAATAGCTGAGAGACTTAAGTAGCTTGACCTGACTTGTATGCAATCATTCCTGACACTGTTTCAGGTAGCAGGTAGACACACATTCAATACTGTTATTCAAGCCTGAATAAGGTGGTTTCCAAAGAAAGGCTACTTTTGGGGAGGTGTAAATTAAACACTTCAGACAAGAAGTTTGTTAAGAGAGAGGCTTCACATTCCTCTCTAGTGCAAGCTGTTAAAGGATGGACATGTTTTTCACATGTTCAGCACCAGCAGCCATAATATTTGGCACACAGTGACTTAACAGAATTAATATGAGAAGTAGCACAGAGCGTGACAACCCTGAAGAGCCGGTCCATAAGTTTCAAGAGCTGAAGAGCAAATAACATCCTGCCTAAGCAGGGGGCTCACTGACACTATCAAGAGTTTGCCTGGCAGATGCTTTGCTGGGTTTTGATACCATTAGCTGACTGTGGAATTGTTTCTCTGTGATATTCTAAGGAGTCGTGCTGAGATCCATGATCAGCCCTAAAATAATACTGGAGTTGTATTTCCATGACTCATTCCTTTCTAAAGAGAAAAGAAAATGTCCTTCTATGAAAAAAGGTGTGGGTGAGTGTCTTGCCCATCCTTTGTTAGTGCTGATGGGTGTTTCCTGACCATGCAGGGACTGAGCTTGGGCATTTTTTACATAGAAGAAAGTCTCCATCTGTTTTGCCAATGAAAGGATCAGCCCTTTCAACATAGTTTATTAGTAATAAATGTCACCTTTAAAGCATTCTTGATAAACAGTTTATTTCCTAATAAAAACGGCATTGTTTTATTTTACTTGAGGCTAAAAAGTTACATGATTTATTATACTTCTGTAATCTATGTGCGTGCCTCTAATCAGTGCATCATCTGGTTTGCAGTTTCACTATCAGAATTGCTTTGCTTTTCAGTTCTTTGAAGCAGATTGTTCATCTTATAACTTCCTTATCTGATAAGTGCCAGCAATAGCAGTATATAGTAATTTTTAATATACAGTAAGTTCTTTGAACTCAGGCAACAAAACCCACAGGCAACTAGATTGCTATTTGCTCCAAGTACCTGGCACGTGTGCCATTGTTTTCAAAAGATTAAGGAATTACATCTTGAGAAATATTCCAACAGTAAATAAATTGATGAAAAGGAGATTTGTAATGTGGACATTTAATCCTTAGGTTGTGATCTAAAAAAGCATCACTTTCTCACCTGCTTTTCTCTGCTTTTCCTTTACAGGATCATTTACTTTCTAGAAAATGGGATGTTGTGCATATAGACCAACAGTGTTTCCACCAGTAAAACCGCATCCCCAAACAAAGTGTTCTTCCCTACAAGTTGAGGTGATGAGCCCAAAAGTGTGCATAGGAATGAACAATGTGTCCCTTTCTTCTGAATGGCAATGCATTAGGTTATCTCGATCAATTGAAGAATTGGGGCAGCCAAACAAGGAACGTCTGGAGGCTTTCACCTGAAGTTATCCTCCTTGTGAAATATGCTGTTCAGTACTTATGATTTCCATTTGCCCAAGAAACAGTTCCTCCAGGTTATGTGGTGACTGACCCCCACTGTCACCTTCAGGGAAACATCTTCTGAGAAGTCTGCTATATGCCATGCAGAAACCAATCTGTTACAGCAGCAGAGCTCTTCCCTCCCACCTTGCCTGACCGAGTCCAACAATGATGCCTTCATCCAGGGAAAAGACCAGAGGGCTGATTAAAAATAAGGATGACCTTTTTTTTTGACATGTCAAAATCTTTCATTTTTTTCTCCAAGATTATTTCTCATCCACACTTCAATGAAAAATGCCCTTAATGTTTTGGGTTTTTTTTTCAGCTAGCTTCTTGTCTTCCTTTTTACTTTGAGTTGTGGGATATAATAAAGCTTTCTACATAATTTAACTTTGACATAACCCTTTCTGACACAAAGATTTAGTAAGACCACTGATATTTGCCAGTTAATAATTGCCATTATCATGAATATCTGAATGTGAATGTACTAGAATAATATTTCGAGTTGTGATCATATGGTGTATTTATCACTATTCTTTGGAATTCAGACAACTATAAAATGAAATCAAATTAGAAAAAAATAAATCAGAAAACTAACATGAAAAATTCCCCAAACTATAGGTTGCCATCTATTGAGGAGTGGTAAGATTTAAGCATAGTAAAATATTTTTTGAAAAGAGAAACATTAAACTATGTGCACAGTCTCCTTCTGTCTGCCAAGAGCAGAAGCTCAAAAATTAGGAGAAAGCATTTAGGTGTTGTCCAGCAAGTGTCAACACTTTGCAAGGTCAAGCAGAAACAAATCCAGAATATATTCCTGTGTGCCAAATCTTGTAATTTTAGACTATCTGAAGATATTTGAGACAGATTAAAAGCACTAGTGGTGACATATGATTATATCAACATCTTTTTTTAGTACATGGTGTGAAATGTTTGAAAATGTAAACCCAAATGGTAACTACCTAACTAAATAGAAAGGCCTCAACTTTTACGGTTAAAATAAGATTTCATGCACAGCTTCTCTTTTCTGCTCCGCTAACTTGCCTGTCTTTGGAGTTTGAGACTGTCATAAGGCAGCCACTGGACTGAAAACAATGTTTCAAATGGACTGATGAAAATGTCATAGACTCGTAGAATGGTTTAGGTTGGAAAAGACCTGTATTGAGTCCAATCACAAACCTAACACTGCTAAATCCGCCACTAAACCATGTCCCTAAGCACCACATCTACATGTCTTTTAAATATCTCCAGGGATGGTGACTCAACCACTTCCCTGGGCAGCCTGTTCCAATGCTTGACAACCCTTTCAGTGAGGAAATTTTTCCTAATATTCAATCTAAACCTCCCCTGGTGCAACATGAGGCCATTTCCTCTCATCCTATCACGTTACTTGGGAGAAGAGACAGACACCCACCACTCCACAACCTTCGTTCAGGTAGTTGTAAAGAGCAATAAGGTCTCTCCTCAGCCTCCTTTTCTCCAGGCTAAACAACCCCAGTTCCCTCACCCACTCCTCACAGCACTTGTGCTCTAGACCCTTCATCAGCTTCATTGCCCTTCTTGGGACACGTTCCAGCACCTCAATGTCTTTCTTGTAGTGAGGGGCCCAAAACTGAACACAGGAATCGAGGTGCGGCCTCACCAGTGCCGAGTACAGGGGTCAGATCCCTTCCCTGTCCCTGCTGGCCACGCTATTGCTGACACAAGCCAGGATGCCATTGGCCTTCTTGGCCACCTGGGCACACTGCTGGCTCATATTCAGGTGGCTGTCAACCAACATTCCCAGGTCCTTTTCCACCAGGCAGCTTTCCAGCCACTCTTTCCCAAGCCTGTACTGTTACATGAGGTTGTTGTGACCCAAGTGGAGGACTTGGCACTTGGCCTTGTTGAATCTCATCCAACTGGCCTCGGCCTATTACAGCCTTCCTACCCTCAAGCAGATCAACACTCCCACCCAACTTGATGTCATCTGCAAACTTACTGAGGGTGCACTCAATCCCCTTGTCCAGATCACTGATAAAGATGTTAAACAGAACTGAGCCCTGGGGAACACCACTTGTGACCAGCTGCCATCTGGATTTAACTCCGTTTACGACAACTCTTTGGGCCCAGCCATCCAGCTGTTTTTTTATCCAGTGAAGAGTACACCCATCCAAGCCATGAGCCATCAGTTTATCTGGAAGAATGCTGTGGAATGGTGTCAAAGGCTTTACTAAAGTCTAGGCAGACAACATCTATGGCCTTTCCCTCATCCACTAAGCAGGTCACCTTGTCATAGAAGACAATCACGTTATTCAAACAGGACCTACCTTTCATAAACCCATGCTGACTGGGTCTGATCACCTGGTTGCCCATATGTGCCATATGATGGCACTCAAGATGATCAGCTCCATAACCTCCTCCAGCACTGACAGGTCTGTAGTTCCTCAGATCCTCCTTCTGTCTGTTTTTGTAGATGGGCATCACATTTGCTAACTTCCAGTCAACTGGGACCTCCCTGGTTAGCCAGGACTGCTGATAAATGATTGAAAGTGGCTTGGTGACCACTTCCACCAGCTCCCTTAGTACTCTTGGGTGGATCCCATCTGGCCCCATAGACTTGTGTATGTCTAAGTGGTGTAGCAAGTAGCTAACCATTTCCCCTTGTATTATGGGGTCTTCATTCTGCTCTTTGTCCCCGTCTTCCAACTCAGGGGGCTGGGTACCCGGAGAACAACTGCTCTTACTAATAGAGACCAAGACAAAACAGGCATTAACTACATCAGCCTTTTCCTCATCCTTTGTCACTATGTTACACACCACATCCAATAAAGGATGAGATTCTTAGTCCTCCTTTTGTTTTAATGTATTTATAGAAACATTTTTTATTGTTTTTCATGGCA